AGACTGTTTCTTATTCTCTTTGAAAAGCCTCAATATAAATTAGGAACAAAACAATAGTTCTATGAATATAGCAACTGTTGTTTTCTGGTTGTTGATTCAGGCAGTCCTGTGACATGGATTGCTTCTACATGGGACTGTAGACAAGAGACTTATGAAGTATTTGCAAAAATGTGAGAACAACACCAGAAACCTTTAAACAAGCATCAGAACCATTAAGCAGAAGTCAAGATGATGACACAATTTAAGAACACAAAAAATTCAACATGATGAAATGACACGAAGACAACCATTTCCAAATGCAGGAATCATACAGAGGCACAGGGAGGGAGAATTCAAGAGAGAAAAGGGCATCAGCCTGGTAGATCTGAATGTGAGACACAGGAAGAGTAATGCCAAAGAACCATGGCAGATCTGTGGGTTCTTCAGTAGACTGCCACAGCTGTGTAACCTTGCAGGACTTGAAGGAACTGTACACATACAGGATTCAGCTGATTTACTCCCAGCCATTATCAGGGAACAAGGAGCTCCAGTTGAGAGGAGCAGGATCAGATAAGGAAGAAGCAGCGTTACAGGCCTGGGCACATTTCCAGGTGAGCACTGGAATGAGAACTAATGTGACCATCTACTCCAAGGGACCCCAATAAAGCAAGCCTCAGGAACTACGTGGCTTTTATGCTTACTTGCAGAGAAATGTCATATGCATAATGATTTTCTAGAAAATGTGATGAATACGATTAATTTTTAAATCAAGATATAGAGGAAAAGAATAACAAAGTAAAAATTTCATTTGAATCAGCTCTTCCTCTTCTATGTATCTTTACAAAAGAGATAAAGACATCCTTGGGGTGAGGGAGAGAGCTCATTGGCATAAGTGTCTGCTGCAAAAGCACAAGGTCCACAGTTTGATGGCCAGTACAAAAAAAGAAAAAGCAGACATCCTATTACAGCCATGCATTTATGGCCATGTCTATAGCAGCAAAATTCAAAATTGCAAAATCCTGGAAGCAGCCCAGTTGTCCATTAACACACAAATTAATAAAGAAAATGTGAGACCGAAGTATACAGGAAGAGTACTCAACTGTAATTATGGATGAAACTTATCCATTTGCATACAATGGAAACAACTGAAAAACACAACGTTAAGTGAATAAATATGATACATAAGCTTGAATGCTGTATGGCATCTCCTGTATGAGTGAAGCATGAGTGAACTGTAGAGCAAAGAGAGACAGATGGGGAAAGGCAGAAGAGAGACCTTGGGCGAAAGAGAAGGGAAGTAAGGGATGGAGGTTGGGAGAGGAGAGGAGGTGATGGACATCTGGAATGAACTGGAATCTGCGGTGTATATGCACCTACTGCCCCAAAGAAGGAGGTTGTTATATGATTAGAGAGGAGAATAGAAGACTGGAGAGAAGGGAAAGGGATGGGAAACAATTAAGATGTGCTAAACACATGCACTGACTCACGAGATGAATGCAAACATTGTAAACTGAAGCCTTGTATTATAAAATAAAATAACATTAAAGAATGAATAAGTATGCCTGCAAGCAGTCCTAAGGGTTGGGGTTTGATCCCCAGGCCTGCCATACCAGCCCTGCCTCCGGGTCACACTGAGACAACAGTTGAGTCTGGACATGGTGGCACAAACCTGTAATGCCACCTCTTGGGAGGCTGTGAACAGGTGGATCACTACCAGTCCGATCAAGTAGTGAGATGCTGAACACACTGTAGACCCTTCCCTAAAAAATACCAAAGAAAAGAAGGAATAAGTAAATCTTTACAAATTTTTGGAAAAGTTGACTCATTCCAGTCTTGGGAATTGACAAATTGCATTGCTTAGATGATTCAGCAAAATAAAAGGCTTTACATGTTAAATTGTCAGATCTCATACTCTTTTGTTTCTTAGATGCAGGAGCTCTGTGCAGGATGCCTCCATTTCCCCTGAATGTGCAGGGAGAACTGTGGGGGCCTGGGCCCAGGAACAGAACCTGTTCCTAGCAAGTCTGCATTTCTAGTCTAAGGATGAAGGAACGGGTGGGCAGTGTTTGGAGGCTGGCGGGTTCTGTTCATCTGGAGAAGAATGAATACCAGCACTCACAGAACACATGGGTTTGTGGAGGTGCTTGCCATTCAGCTGAGGTGCTTCTTTTCACCTGGAAGGTGTGAGAAAGCAAAGTACCAGTTGCTAGGAAATAAGGACCAAGGTCTGTGGCCTGGGGTTTACAGAAAACTACTGTGAAGGTGCTGACCCTGAGCCCTGTCTCCTCACAAGTCCTGCGATCTGAGTCTCCTGATGCTCAGGTAGGAGGAGCCCTGTGGTCAAGCACCGATTTCTCCTCTGTGATTGAATCAGGTGTGGGCTTGGTTTGCAGGCTGAGTGACATCAGAGAGTAGGGATCCCGGGCTCTGCTGGGGACTATATAAACATGTGAGCAGTTAGGTGAGCACTGACTTCGTGACAGTGTGGCCCCTTGGAGGACTTGCCTCTGACATCAGCCTTTGAGAATCCTGGATAGAGGATCATCCTTCTTTGTACTTTGAGAGCTAGGACCCAGTTGTGAGAAGCACAGGGTCTGCTCCACTGAGGGGACTTCTCAGGATTCCTCAGCATTCCAGGTAAGGATCCTGAGTTGCACTGAAGGGAGGGGCCACCCTCTTTGCATTGAGAACTCAGCACCACAAAGTCCTGCCCCCACCTCAGACCTGAGCATCCCTGGGACAAAGCTGCAATGTCAGCAGCACCTCCTCTGTCTGCGCTCTGGCCCTAGGCACCTGGAGAGCATCTCCTGTGGCCTTATGGGATCCAAAGAGGAACAGGCAGCATAACAGAAGGAAAGGTCTTCCCAAAAGTGGGGCCCTAAGTGCCAAGGAGTTCATATGTTTTCAGAATAGGCGGCCACCCACAACAGCATCCTAACTACCACACGTGGGCATGGCTTCCCCAATCAGGAACTCACCAAGCAGCTTTTCCTTACTGACTGCAGTGGCCGTGGGCATTGGTTTGTGGCTTCTGCACTCAGATCAACAGAAGGAGATTAGGTGAATCCAAACATGAGTGGAGATCAAAGTCCTGATACGATTCAGATAGTTCCAGGGCCAAGCTAAGATCCTCAAGTAGATAATGGCTTTAAACTTCATTTTCTTAGGAAAAAGAGAATTGTGCAGAAGGGGTAGGAAGCCCAGTTCAGTAGAAAGAGAAGAGCACTAGATGTGTCTAGTACAACTAGACACTAGAAGTGTCAAATACAAAGCACAAATGAAGAATGTAACATGGGCTTTACTGCAGAAATAAGGCAATCAATAAAGTCTGGCCTCTGCCCTGAATCCCAAGAAGGGAGTGTTAGAGGTGTCAAGGCTGAGATGCTCCCTTTGGGCTCACACGGGTCATTTCAGGAACAACATAAGATTTATTAGAAGTGCAAGGGGGAGAAACTGGCTCCCAATAGGAGCTGTGATAGCAGTAGTGTGTATGGGGAAACCCCTCCACAAAATCAGTTGTCCACAAGCCTGGTACTAGCAATGATACCTAAGGGAGCTGGGCAAGGCTACCTCTCAAAGTTTATTCAGTTCTTCCAAGGACATGCAAAGGAGCTGAGAAACAGTCATTGTGCAGAGCCTCGCATTATCAGGACAAGTGTTGTGGTCAGTGCCAGGTTTCAGGGAGGGAACCTGAGAGCACACACAGATTTCTGTCCCATAACAGGGCAAAACAGATCTCCTTCTCAGTTGTCACCCATGTGAGTCTACAGGTCAGTGTGGTATGCACAGAAGAGAAAATTTCCATACAATCTACCAAACTCTCAGGCAGTTGAGATAATTAATATGACTGGATAGGCACTATGGAAAGATGGGGGCATAATGAAGGAGAACATAAAAGGGCACCTAGTCTAAATAGGGGATTCCAGAAAGTCTCATCAGCTCTCAGTCATAGGAGAGCACAGGCAGACAAAGCCAGAAGAATTGTGTCTTCACATCCATTCGTGCAACTCAGGTAGCTGCAGGGCTTAGTCCAATTAGAGGCATCAGATCGATGGATGGTGGAACAGTCCATGCGTGAGTGCGTGCTGAAGAGACAGAAAGTCCAGGACATTGCGGTCCCACAGATCGCAGGGTCACTGGATGTGCCTCACATGTCCTTTGATCTCTGGCCTCTGCAGAAAGTGACAAGGTTAATCTGAGCTGAAAGGCCTCAGGTCATCAGAAGGAAGTTCTTGTGTGGCCACAAGTGACAGAGAATGCCTTGACTCCTACACAATATCTGTAATGGGCCCATGGATTGAATCTTGAGGACAGTCCTGAGAAGCCCCGGCCAGAGATGTCAAGCCCTATCCCAGGGCCCCAAACTGATACCCAGACCTTAAAACCTCTGGAGAATGTGGCAGCAGAGCCAGATACCACCAGGGTCATATCTTCCACTATTATTCCGGGATTGCATCCTGACATCTAGGGAAGTGAAGCTGAGGTTCTCTCTAAGACAAAGTACATACTAGAAGTGAGGACTGCAGGTGTCACTTCCTTGACCCCATGTTGAGGGAACACTGCACACTTCAGCTCTTTCTGGGCACACTGCCTTTGAGTTGGCAGCACTTACTTGCAGACAGAGCCTTTTGTCATTACTCTGTAGCAAGTCCATTTCAAAGGAACAACTGGTTCTGAAGGCACAGCAAGAGTCAGGATGCAGGAGTATTGTGTACTGCAGATACAGGCATGATGGGGCTGCTAAATGAGGAGTATGGGTCCGGGAGCACAGGCTGGAGAGCTCCAGGGACCGTCAGCACTGTCCCTCTATCTAAATAGTGGGAAGGAAAATCCCGGCATTTGGTAACGATGCAAGGGTGATTGGAGATGTTGGCCTAGTGCAGTGCAAGACAGAGCCTGTGATAAATATCATCTTCCTGAGTGCAAACTTTGAGGTCCCTTGAAACAGGTGGACACCATATGTGTGGCGCTTGTTCTCAGCTTGTGAGCCCAAGAGAGGGGGGCAGCCTAAGAAGTAAGGAAAGTCTCTCGCTGCTCAGCACTTGTCAGGGCAGGAAGAAAAACAACCTTGTGCGGAGCTAGGGCAGTGGAGAGGGCCTTCCTAAATGGTCAGTGGGGTCTTTCTATAAAAGTTCTCATAGGGTCTCATTCCCTATCCTCCAGGTGCCAGTGACACCTGCTCTCCAGCTGACAGTCCTACCTGTTGTCCCTGACCTCAGTCATCATGCCCCGGGGACACAAGAGTAAGCTCCGTGCTCAAGCAAAACGTCGCCAGGCCCGAAGTGAGAACCAGGCTGCCCAGGAAGCTCAGGCTCCAGGGGCACAGGGAGGGGAGGCCCCATCCTGCTGTGGTCTCTCTGGGGAAGCTGCCTCCAGCTCCTCTGTGGGCCTTGTTCCCCAGAAGTCACAGGGTGCTTCACCCCCTGCTAGCGCCACTGGTGTTGCTACACCAAAGATGTCTGCAAGAGGTGCCAAGAATAGAGGGAGGGAAAGGGAACCTTCCCCTGTGGCCACAGTGCCCACTAAGAGCTCAGAAAAAGAGCTTCTAATGAAGAAGGCAGGGATGTTGATGCACTACCTGCTGTACAAGTATCAAATGAAGGAGAAAGCAGTGAAGTCTGAAATGATGAAGATCGTGCATAAAAGGTTCCGACCAAAATTCCCTGAGATCCTACAGATGACCACTGAGTGGGCAGAGATGCTCTTTGGCCTTGAGTTGAAGGAAGTAAAGCCTGGTGGTGGCTGCTACACCTTTGTCAGAAGGTTTACTGAATCCAACTATGGAAATTTGATCACTAGCTTGGATATCCCTATGAATGGTGTTCTGATTCCTGTGCCCAACATCATCATCCTAAGTGGCAACTGTGTACCTGAAGAAGAGATTCTGGAATTCTTGAATATGATGCCAATGTATAATGAGAAGGAATACTTAATCTGTGGTGAGCTACAAAATATCACCACCAAAGATCTGGTGCCAAACAATTATCTGATGTACCGCCAGGTGCTTCTCAGTGATCCTCCAAATAATGAGTTCCTGTCTGGTCCACGAGCATTCAATGAGACAAACAAGATGAAAGTTCTAGAGCTTTTGGCCAAGGTTAATGAAACCATCCCCACTGCCTTCCCATGGAATTATGCAGAGGCTTTGAGAGAGGAGGAAGGGAGGGCCCAAGCCACAGCTGCAGTCAGCCGTGGAGCTGTGGTTCTGTCTCTCCCTTCTCCTGGGGAAACCTCTAACATAATGCCCTAGTGAGATGGGAGGCTGAGGCTTCATTTTGTTTTGATAAAAGCTATTTTATCTTATATCTACTTAGAGATAAACATAGGGCTAGAGATGTCATTATGTATCCCTATGTGCCTCTGTCACATTAGCATCTGTCACGTTCATTTAATAGATCATTACTTTAGTTTCAGAACCCATGGTTCTGAGTAACATAGGTTACTCTCAGTGTTAGTATTAAATTGAAATGTTGTAATGTTATTCTCCTTTAGTACTCTTTACTAGTCTTTGAAAATGTCTTGTGTTCAGAAGGAAACCATGGTTTTGAACAGGAGACATAACTTGGGGACCCTGTCAATTGCAACTGTAGACTTATAATAGGTAAATCAAAGAAATAGATTGTCAACTGTTGATTGAACTTCTCTCTCTCTCTCTCTCTCTCTCTCTCTCTCTCTCTCTCTCTCTCTGT